AGCTTCTTTCAGGTCTCCCAAGCGGGTACAGAGGCCCAAGGACTTGCACCATTTTCTACTGCTTTCCCAGGCCACAGTAGAGAGCTGAATCGGAAGTGGAGCAGCCGGGACTCGAACGGGCACCCATATGGGATGCTGGCACTGCAGGTGGCGACTTTACCTGCTGCACCACAGTGCCAGCTCCTCCCATAAGTTGTTTTTATTTTTTTAATATTTATTTATTTGAAAGAGTTACAGAGAGAGAGACAGAGAGAGAGGTCTTCCATCTGCTGGTTCACTCCCCAGATGACCACAATGGCTGGAGCTGTGCTGATCTGAAGCCAGGAGCAGGAGCTTCTTCCGGGTCTCCCACGTGGGTGCAGGGGCCCAAGGACTTGGGCCATCTTCTACTGCTTTCCCGGGCCATAGGAGAGAGCTGGATCAGAAAAGGAGCAGCCAGGACTAGAACTGGTGCCCATATGGGATGCCTGGGCTTCAGGCCAGGGCTTTAACCCACTGTGCCACAGTGCTGGCCCCCTCCCATAAGTTTTGATATGTTGTATTGTCATCTTCATTCATTTCCAGAAATTTTTTGATTTCTCTTGATTTCTTCTATGACCCACTACTCATTCAGGAGCATGTTGTAACATAACTTTTTCTCTGGTAGCTTTTGAGATGTTTTTGGCCACTGCTTTTAAGCAATTTACTGCATGCCTTAGTGTAGTTTTCTACATGTTTTTATGCTTGGCTTGCACTGAGCTCCTTGGTTTTGTGGGTTTATAGTTTTCACCAAATTTAGAAAATATTCAGTCCATTTGCACATATAATAAGCCTGAGTAGTTCTACAATTCACTGCTGTTCTTTTCTGTTTTATTTTCCTCTTTTTTTCCCCAGAGTTTTATTATGGATCTATTGCTATGTCTTCAAGTTTACTTATCTATTTTTTGACAGTGTCTGGTGTGCTCTTTGTCTAGTCCAGTATGTGTTTCATTCAGATGTTACAGATTTTTGCCTCTACAAGTTTGATTTGAGTCCTAACTTCTATGTGTGCTTTATATATTCAGTCTTTCCTCTGGCTTATCAAACGTAAGAAATACAATTATAAAATTTCTAATGCACTTGTCTATTAATTCGATGATCTGTATCATTTCTGAAGTGATTTTCTTGATTTTTCTCCTCATTATGGGTCACATTTTCCTGCCTGTTTGCAAGCTTTGTAATTTTTGATTGGATGCCAGACATTGTGAATGTAACCCTGTTGGGTGTGGAGTATTTTGGTAATCCTATAAAGATCCTTGGGCTTTGTTCTGGGACACAGCTGAGCTACTTGATATTTAATCCTTTCAATTTCTATTCTTAATATTTGTTGGGCAGGGTCAGAAGAGTGTTTAGTCTACAGTTATTTTTTTCCACCTCTGAGGCAAAATTCTCCTGGATATTCTACCTATTGCAGAAATAGACACTATTCCTGGCCTTATGTAAACTTTGGAGAGTATTTCTTTTTAATATTTCCAGTGGTCTTTCCCAAGCCTTGGGCAATGTCTTCGCATGCATGTTCAGTACTCATCTGAACACTTAAAGGGAACAGCTCTCCAGAGCTTTGTGTATCCTTTTCTTTTCTTTTATTGCTGTAGTCTTCCTGGACCCCTAGTTCTAGCTTCTGTACTCGGGGAGACTTCTGAGCTCTGTGTGGGTTCCCCTCTCTCCTACATGCATTAAAACTCTTTATCTGCAATACTCTAGGGCAATCATAGCACTCACTTGATTTCTCATCTCTAAAGGACCAGTTCTTCATTCCCTGCTACCCAGTGTCTTAAAAAATTGTTTCATGTATTTGTTGGATATTTTAGTGTGTCAAGCAGAGATTAAATCTAGGTACTATTTTATTTTATTTTTTATTTTTATTTTTTGACAGGCAGAGTGGACAGTGAGAGAGAGACAGAGACAGAGAGAAAGGTCTTCCTTTGCCGTTGGTTCACCCTCCAATGGCTGCCACAGCCGGCGCACTGCAGCTGGTGCACCGCGCTGATCCGAAGGCAGGAGCCAGGTGCTTCTCCTGGTCTCCCATGGGGTGCAGGGCCCAAGGACTTGGGCCATTCTCCACTGCACTCCCTGGCCACAGCAGAGAGCTGGCCTGGAAGAGGGGCAACCGGGACAGAATCTGGCGCCCCGACAGGGACTAGGACCCGGTGTGCCGCCGCAAGGCAGAGGATTAGCCTATTGAGCCACGGCACCGGCCAAATCTAGGTACTATTAACTTTATCTTGACTTGAAGCTGTAAATGATATTGGAAACACTTGGAGAGCTTGTTATAACTACACATATCTTGGGCCATATTCCAATCACACAGAAGCTGTAACAGTGAGGCTGGGGTTTCGTTCTTCAATTGTGTCAGAAATATGCCAGTTATTCAATATGCAAAGTTGAATTAGGCTTACTCATTTACAAGACTTTCAGTCCACTGAGGATGACTAGGAAATATTCACATTGGTGTCTATTTGGTTCTTAGGGCACAAGATAAGGAGATGGTCCACATACAGGAGTTTTTTTGTTTTTTAAAATTTATTTATTTATTTGAAAGTCAGAGTTACACAGAGGGAGGATAAGCAGAGAGAGAGAGGTCTTCCATCTGATGGTTCACTCCCCAATTGGCCTCTATGGCTGGAGCTGTGCCAATCCAAAGCCAGGAGCTAGGAGCTTCTTCCAGGGGTCTCCCATGCAGATGCAGGGGCCTAAGGTCTTGGGCCATCTTCTACTGCTTTCCCAGGCCATAGCAGAGAGCTAGATCAGAAGTAGAGCAGCCAGATCTCGAACCGGCACCCATATGGGATGCCAGTGCTTCAGGCCAAGGAGTTAACCTGCTGAGCCCCCACATACAGGACACATACAGGAGTTTTAGAGCATCCTTGTGAGGAAAGACATCCAAGATAATCCCATGATGGCCAAAAAGGGTTAGCAAATGATTCCTGGAGGGAATGAAGGAGCAGGTCTGGAAAGATGGGCTGGAGTTGGTTGGATTAGTGGGGGAAAGGGGAAGGGAAAACAGCAAACAAGAACATTCCAGGTCGAGAGGACATAGGAAGGCTCTGAGGTCCCACTGCACGATGCATCAAGGAAACAAAATAATGGGGAGAGTGAAGGATAGGCTTGTCTTCAGGTCTCTGTCTGTGAAGGGAGAGCTCTCGTATCCCTAACATTGGTGATTTTCAGGTGGGAGAAGGAAATAAAGGAGTAAATCATTTTATGGAGATAGATAGGCCAGTAAAGCATTAGGTAAGAGAGAAGCTCTGTTTTTTCCTGGAACCTGTATCTGATTGACTTACTCATTCCTTTGTTCATCAAGGGCTTATTAAGAACCTATTTTACTTCTGGTCATGTACTGGATGCTAGAGACTAGACATTTATAGTAGCCTATAACTTGATAGTATTTTTAAAAATTGCTGTGCGTCCTAAACACTTAACATCAAACATAGTTTACTTAGTAAAAACAAATATTCTGAACAGTATTAATTTCAGAAAAGCAGTCAGTGACTATTTGAGAGAAGAAATTGTCATCTTAGCTGAAGCAGCATATATTAGGAAAGAAAAGTGAGCACTTAAGTACCAAGAACTCGTCTGAACACTTGATGGAATCAATCATTTGATCTTCACAGAAAGTCTACTACACCTTTTTTCAACCAGAGGATACGCCAAAAAAAAAAAAAAAAAATTATTTATTTTTACAGAGAAGTAGGGTGAGAGATTGTTCATCCACTGGTTCACTCCCAAAATGCATGCAACAATTGGGGTTAGGCCAGGCTGAATCCAGGAACCTAGAACTCTATCCTGCTCTCCCATGTGGGCCCAAGAACTTAAGCCATTATCTGCTGCCTCCTAGAAGCAGAGGTGCCAGGACTTGAACCAGGCACTCCATATGGGATGTAGGCTTCCAAGCGGGGGCTAAACAGGCTTCACTACAACGCCCACCTCCAGAGGACACTTTGACGTGGTCTTATGTATTTATTTTACAGCTACCTACCACGACAGGATTGCACAGAATCATAAAGCCTTGTAAACTATTGACGTGGTCAGTGAGAAGAGCCTTGAGTCTGATGGGAGTAATAGTTTTGTGCCAAATGCACAAAAGAGAGAAAGGTGAATCAAAAAGGCATAGACAGCCCAAAGTACTGGATATAGCAGTGCTATGGTTTGGGTGTGGCTTGTCTCCCCAAGGTTTGTGTGCTGAAAGCTCAATCCCCAGAGGGCTCATGTTGAGGTGCTGGAACCTTTAAGAGGTGGGGCCTAGTGGAAGGTCATTAGGTCATGGAAGTGCTTACCCGGGTGAATGGATTAAAGCTGTCTTGCGGTCTGGTGCTGTGGTGCAGTGGGTTAACGCCCTGGCGTGAAGCGCTGGCATCCTATATGGGCACCGGTTCCAGACCCAGCTGCTCCACTTCCCATCCAGCTCTCTGCTATGGCCCAGGAAAGTGGTAGAGGATGGCCCAAGTCCTTGGGTCCCTGCACCCATGTGGGAGACCCAGAAGAAGCTCCTGGCTCCTGGCTCCTGGCTTCGGATAGGCACAGCTCTGGCCATTGTGGCCATCTAGGGAGTGAACCATTGATTGGAAGACCTCTCTCTCTCTCTCTCTCTCTCTCTCTCTCTCTGCCTCTCCTCTCTCTCTCTCTGCCTCTCCTCTCTCTGTGTAACTCTGACTTTCAAATAAATAAATAAATCTAAAAAAATTTTAAAAAGCTGTCTTGCAGGAGTGGGTTGGGTCTGGTAGGAGTGGGTTTGCTTCGACAAGAGCAGGCTGCCTCCCTGGTCTCTTACTATCTTGCCCACACACGTGCTCATTCTGCAGGTGGCCGGTTCCCCTTCCACTTCTCTGCCTCGTGGTGGTGCAGCCAGGATGCCAGCAGCGTGCTATACAGGACCTTCTAGCCACCAGACTCATGAGCCACGTAAACTTTTTCACATATTCCCCAGCCTCTGGGATTTCGTTCTACCAACACCAAACTGACTTAAGCAGCACACTGGAGAGTTTCTTTAAGCTTTGTTTATGAACATCAGCAACATTTTCCCAAAGGTAAGCCTGGAAGAGTGTCCTTATAAATAGAGGTTAAAAAAATAAATAATGCTAGAAACTGAAGAGGCAGTACGTGCACAGTTTATCATTTCGCCCTCATGATGTCAGCAGACATGTGTAACACACATCTGCAGGATGGACATTGGGGAGGAAGATGACCACTTATCTCAGAGAGTTCTGACACCCAGTGGAGGGGCTGAGCTCTGACGGGCTGTGAGCTGGGGATGAGCAGAGCCTCTCCTGATGCCTCCAAGTCACAGGAGGACCAGTTTTGAAAAGTTCAATGCTCCATCTGCCTGGTGTATTTTTATTTCCTCCCACGGTCTAATGCCGAGACGCGCACAGAGCCGCAGTCGCGCAATGAGTATTCCAGATGACACATCGTCTGATATTTCAGTCTACTTCTTCGTGTATCCCAAGTATATTTTCCTAGGGGGTGAGGGAGAGAAGAGAAATAGATTCTTTAAATTCCAAGTTGGATTCACGGCTGAAGTGAAAACATATGCCTGTTAACTCCGCTCTTACCCCAAGCGTGGCCTGGGGCTCAGAGACTGTGGTAGGGTTGGGAATGGCTTGGGAAGGTGTCTGGCAGTCTCAGGATGCCTGCAAGGCAAACCCTGGCTTAGGGCTTCTGTTACACACTGGGTGGAACTGACTGGGGCTGAATTTAAAATTCAGAAAAGTAGGTGCTGGAAGGTTGAAGACGATGGGGGTGCTGCAGACGGGGGAGGCACAGCGCTGGCTGCGGGGCAGCCGTGGGATCCGTGCTCCGCAGCGAGGAACCAGCTCGCTTTGTAGCCAGGGTTGCTCTGCTTCCATTTGATTCCTTCATTCGCTGTTCTGGAAGTGCTGGCTGAACATCTATGATGTCTATAAAGTGCTGCGAGTTATGGGAGGAACAAGGAGGCATAAAATACGAGGGTACTTCCCAAAGTGAAAGGAAACTGAGATGAAAAGATAAGCTTATTTTGGTGCAAACATTTTTTTGGAGATCCATACATAGAGGGGCCTTCAAAAGTGCATGGAAAAGCATAGTATGAAAAACTATGTCTGGATTTCAGAATTGTTCGCACCAAAATAAACTTGCCTTTTAATTCCAGGTTTCCATGAACTACTGGAAGTCCCCTGGTGCATGATGATTTCTTTGTGTTCTCAGGATTCTTTGAAGTTTAGTTGGGAAGATGAGATGCAATTGTTTGGAACGTGGAATCCAGAGCTTCTAGAGAGCTTGTGCACAAGTAGTTTCCCTCCTTCCATACCGTCACAGGGACACCACAGAGAGCCACCAGAAATCCCTGAAGGCTTATCACCCAGTGTCGTCTTTCTGTCCTGTTCAGGATCATGGAGCTCTAATTCCTTCTTTTAAAAATAATTATGTGATTAAAATCTTTTTAGTTAATTTATCTGAAAGGCAGACACAGAGAGAGAGAGAGACAGACAGACAGACACACAGAACTTCCATCTGCTGGTTCACTCTTCAGAACACCTGCAACTGCCAAGGTTGGGCCAGGCCAACACCAGGATGCTGGAACTCAGTCTGGGTCTCCCAGGTCGGGGGCAGGAACTCAAGTACTTGAGCCATCCCCTGCTGGGAGTATTGGCTGTGTGCATTAGCAGGAAGCTGGAACTGGAAGTGGAGCTGGACTCAAACCCATGCACTCCGCTGTGGGATATGAGTGTCTTAAACGGCATCTTAAGCCAATGCCTGCACCTGAGCACAGGTCTCAGTCCACGTCTCCTTCGTGTTTCACAGCTCCTGTCAGTTCTACCAGCTTATAAATGTTCTTTTATCGGCATTCTTTTTTTCCTCAACACTTTGCTGTCACTTGGAAAAATGAGTCCTTCATCTCACTTTCTTTTTCATCCTCCTCCTAATTTCTAATCACGTGGTCCACATAAAACCTGACTGTGGGAGCTAACGTGATGCAGTGGGTTAAGCCACTGTTTGCATGCCAGCTTTCCACGTCTGAGTGCTGGTTCCAGCTCCAACTGCTCCGCTTCTGATCCAGCTTCCTGCTAATGCACCTGAGAAGGCTGTGGAAGATGGCCCGAGTGCTCAAGCCTCTGCCACCATGTGAAAGACCAGGATGGAGTTCCCGGCTCCTGGCTCCAGCCTGGCCCAGCCCTGTGTGGCCATTTGGAGAGTAAACCAGAGGATGAACGATCTCTCTATCTCTGTATGTGTGTCTTTCAAATAAATAAATAAATCTTTAAAAATAAATAAGTGAAATAAATAATTAAATACATAAACTTAACTATGCTCAAGAGTTAAGGCTAAGTTTTATGACAACCTAGAGAAGTAATAATCTTTGAGCTGAAACTACAGATGTGTAGAAGTAGTGCTATTAATTTCTAAAGGGTTTGAAAACCCCCTTTAGAATATATACTGAAGAACTCATCCATTCTCCTTAACTGGAACTGATTTTCTCTAGCATCTGAAGCCAAATTTGAAAACAAACAGAAATGTTTGTACTCATTTTTTTTCCTTTCTTTTACTTGATTACTAGAATTAGAACCATTACTTTTTATAAAAGATTTATTGAAAACTGCTGTAAAATTCACTCTGCTGAAGTGGTATAATTCAGTGACTTTTAGAATAGTCTCAGAGTTGGCTGGCGCCGCGGCTCACTAGGCTAATCCTCTGCCTTGCAGCGCCGGCACACCGGGTTCTTGTCCCGGTCGGGGCGCCGGATTCTGTCCCGGTTGCCCCTCTTCCAGGCCAGCTCTCTGCTGTGGCCAGGGAGTGCAGTGGAGGATGGCCCAGGTGCTTGGGCCCTGCACCCCATGGGAGACCAGGATAAGCACCTGGCTCTTGCCATCGGATCAGTGTGGTGCGCTGGCCACAGCGCGCCAGCCGCAGCGGCCATTGGAGGGTGAACCAATGGCAAAGGAAGACCTTTCTCTCTCTCTCTCTCTCTCTCTCTTTCTCTCACTGTCCACTCTGCCTGTCAAAAAAAAAAAAAGTCTCAGAGTTAAGTATCACCTCTGATTTTAGGACATTTTCATCACTCCAAAAAGAAGTTCCGCTCCCACTAGCAGTTACTCTCCATTCCCTCAGCCCTGCCTTAGCAACCACTGATCTCTTTTCTTTCTCCATGAACGGGCCTTTCCTATTCATATACATTACGTGTCATATACATTGCACCATCCAATATACGTGGCCTTTCAGTCTGGCTTCTTTCGTTTAGTATAATGCTTTATAGGTTCATCACATAGCAATACTTTATTTCTTTTTATGGCTGAATAATATTCCATTGTGTTTATCCATGCATCGTCCGTTGGTTAGCAGGCATCTTGGTTGTTTCCACTTTCTGGCCATAACGAATGAGGAATGCTGCCACGAACGCTCAAGCACAAGTTTTTGTGTGAAAGCTTGGTTTTAATTTCCTTGGGTGTATACCCGGGGAGGGATTACTAATTCTGTATTTAACATTTGGGGAAGCTGCCAAAGTACTTTCCAGAGGAGCCACAGCGTTATACAGTCCGATCATCCTCGCCGGCACTTGCCTGTCTTTATTTTAGCTCGCCTAGGGAGCAGGGTTCATCGTGGTTTTGACTTTCACTTCCCTGTTACTGAAATGTGCACTCTGATCCATTGCCCACTTTAAAAGGCAGGTTGTGTTTTTATTGTTGAAATTTTTTTTTTTTTTTGACAGGCAGAGTGGACAGTGAGAGAGAGAGAGAGAGAGAGAGAGAGAGAGAGAGAAAGGTCTTCCTTTTGCCGTTGGTTCACCCTCCAATGGCCGCCACGGCTGGCGCGCTGTGGCCAGCGCACCGTGCTGATCCGATGGCAGGAGCCAGGTGCTTCTCCTGGTCTCCCATGGGGTGCAGGGCCCAAGCACTTGGGCCATCCTCCACTGCACTCCCTGGCCACAGCAGAGAGCTTGCCTGGAAGAGGGGCAACCGGGACAGAATCCGGCACCCCGACGCGGACTAGAACCCGGTGTGCCGGCGCCGCTTGGTGGAGGATTAGCCTAGTGAGCCGCGGCGCCGGCTTATTGTTGAATTCTAATTGTTCTTCTTGATATAAGTAATTTGTTAGATACATGATCTGCAAGTATTTCCCCCACACTTTGTGGGTGGGTTTCTCACTTTCTTGATGATGATGTCCTATGGAGCACAAAATACAGTTCAGTGTTTCTGAACTGTTTCTTTTGTTGTTCATGCTTTTGGTATAGAGCCACTACTTTTGAAAGGGCATTTTGGCATTTAAGCTACATTACCGGGTGAAATAAACTTTTGAGAGCTGGCCTATTAGCCCAGTTGATGCCTATAATCTCTATATATATTAACAAGACCAACATGGGTTTAAAACTGAACACTTGAGACATAGCCCATGGGCAATGTGACCATTTCTTGAATATCACGATGGCACAAACCTGAAGCGTTGTGGCAGGTCAGAGACTGCTGGGGTCCCTAAGGTGGAGAGGGCAGGAAATGCTTGGGGACAGAGGGATTCGAGGGAGCTCTGGTAGAAAAGGTAGAACTGAACTCATGCTGAGGAATCTGTCTTCCTTTTAGAATGAGTGGCGGCAGCTAGAATTTGGAATTCGTATAAGCCTGCCTTGTTTAGGTCAGCCAGTTAAGGGTTATCCTACCTCGTGCAAAAGAGGAACAGAAGAGGCAAGCTCAGTGGGGGCTGCCAAAGCCCACGGTGGGTGCTTCAGCCCCGTAGGCAGGACCAGACACACTTTACTTCTGATGGCCAGGAGATCTCCTTTGTTGGGAGGTGCCAGGGTCATGGTGGCCATGCTGGCCCATGGGCCCGCCAGGGGAAAGAGGACTAAGGGGAGTAGGGGATGAAGGCCTGTTCTTCTGGGAATGGCCCAGGCCCACTGAGATGTAGAGTGCTGGGGTAGAACACTTCGACAAGTTTGACCGTATGTAGCCATTTGAACATGGCAGTGATAAGATCTCCAGGACTGGATATAAATGAGAGGGGGAGGATATTGAGGCTGGGATGTAGGGGGAAGGCCTATTTTGATTGATATTAAGTACTTAAAAATAGATGAAAGTTTGTTTGCTTTTTAGTTTGTATGAAAATGTCCCTGCTGAATGGCTGGGTCAAAGCAGCATTGGCGAAATGTCATGGACTCTGAGTCTGTGAGAGATTGGCCCCCTGCCCCACCAGTGTCTGCAAGTGTGAGGAGCAGCCCGCCAGGCCGGTCTCATCACCGGACTCCCATTGCCTGTGTATTTGTGAAAACAGAAATTACATCTGTGTAAACATTTTATATGTCAGCGTCCACTCATTTCCTGTTACATCCCCTTCCACACACACATACACCACGTACCCTTGGGGAGCTCGGTAAATATTTATTGACGATGAAGATTGTCACTAAAAATAGGTTCCCATCAATGGCATCCATCTCTCGCCACTCAAGTGTCCTAAACCCATGAGAACTGCTTGCCTGATGTGTTCCCTTCCTTGAAAATGAAAATCTTTGCATCTCATCTCCTCTGAGCTCTGAGAAGATTCATTTCTATTGAATTTATTAATTTTTATTTTTTTAAAAAAGATTGTCTTTTAAAAGTTTTTAAAAAGTATTTAGTTTCACTTATTTGAAAGGCAGAGAGACAGACACACACACACGAACACACACACACAGGCAGAGAGAGAGAGAGAATCCTCTATCTACTGATTCACTTCTCAAAGCCCACAACAACTGGGGCTGGGCCAGGCTGAAGCCAGCAGCCCAGAACTCAATCCCAGTCTTCAAGTTCAGTGGCAGGGACCCAAGTAAATGGGCCATCACTGCTACTTCTTAGGGTGTACATTAGTGGGAACTCCGGCACTTTAATAAGGGATGTGAGTGTCCCAAGGAGGTGTCTTAACCACTGTGCCAAATGCCCACCCATGCTTTCATTTTTGAGTAGGATACACTTACCCATCCGCCATGCTGCTGGACCCAGGGTGAGAAGTTCTCTTTCAGGTACTTGGCTCCAAAGCCCAGCACCCTGTTCATTGGGTGATTGTCAATAGCTGTGAGCTTGGCCATGGCGTCTATTGCAAGGGCAGCCTTAAAGCCCCGAGCTTTCACCTCTGATTCTCCTCTGGTGTCCACACCCTTTAGGAACTGGTCTGTGATGGTCTTGAAGACGGAGTAGGACAGTCCCTCCTGGAAGTTACTCATCAAACCTGAGTCCTTCTTCAGCTGCATAGAAGAAGAAGAACATTCAGAAGAATAGCTTGGCCCCGTGGGGTAGATGAAGGCCACTCTCAGATCACGTGTGGGCCACTAGAGCACCCGTGGAAAAGCCTGGGGTTCTAGTCTTTTTTTTTTTTACTTTTATTTAATGAATATAAATTTCCAAAGTACAGCTTATGGAGTACAATGGCTTCCCCCCCATACTTCCCTCCCACCCACAACCCTCCCCCTTCCCTCTTCCTCCCCCTTTCCATTCACATCAAGATTCATTTTCAATTCTCTTTATATACAGAAGATCAGTTTAGCATATATTAAGTAAAGATTTCAACAGTTTGCTGGGGTTCTAGTCTTAACCATGCACGACATCCTGCGGCACCAGCCTGTGCATCTACCTGCTCTGGGAATTCACTGGGATAAATACATGGTACCATTGAACAGTCTGTTCATTCGTCACTCAACACATGTTTCCTGGGCACTTGCGATGGGCAGTTCTTCAGGTCCTCACTCAAGGTGCCCCAAGTCAGGTGAAAGTTGTAGAACAATGCCAGGTGTGTGGCTGGGGGTAGTGTAACAACCTAAAGCTTGGAAATCTTGGCTCACACCTATCTTCCTTCCTACTAGCTGTGTGAGCTTGGGGAAATTGCTTAGCCTCTGGGGCTCAGTACTGTCATCTCTAGATGGCACCTGTTGACTTAGATCTCAGCCTAATGTTGGACATGGAGGAGGTACTCTGGAAATGTCAGTCTTTTTGCAGGACACTGGGGGTTGGGGCTGGGGGAGGTCAGGAAAGACTCCCTGAAGTGCATAGGTTCACCTTTTAAAAGAACAAATCCATTGATTTCTTTCCCATTATGTTCTACCCAATCAATTTTATCTCCAACCACTTCCTTAGACCTGGTGTCTTTACCTGCTTTGGACTACCTGCTTTACTTTTAAGAAAACCAATACTTCCTCTGCTCCTTTTGAAACATCAGGCCTTGTCATCAAGTCACATGAAGAGGCTTTAGAAAACTCGTAGAAAATTTGCATTGTCTTTTAATTCCTTTCTCACTGAAGGCCACGCTTGCAATGTCTGTTAATGTCAAGGATCCTATGTGAAATCAGAAGCTTCCTAGGGCGAAAGGTCTAAAGGTTTGTTTGAAAAATCCCTTAAGGGCCGGCGCCGTGGCTCAATAGGCTAATCCTCCACCTTGCGGCGCCGGCACACCGGGTTCTAGTCCCGGTCGGGGCGCCGGATTCTGTCCCGGTTGCCCCTCTTCCAGGCCAGCTCTCTGCTATGGCCAGGGAGTGCAGTGGAGGATGGCCCAGGTGCTTGGGCCCTGCACCCCATGGGAGACCAGGATAAGCACCTGGCTCCTGGCTCCTGCCATCGGATCAGCGCGGTGCGCCGGCTGCAGCGGCGGCCATTGGAGGGTGAACCAACGGCAAAGGAAGACCTTTCTCTCTCTGTCTCTCTCTCTCACTGTCCACTCTGCCTGTCAAAAATAAAAAAAAAAAAAAAGAAAAATCCCTTAAGTTCTGTCCGTGAGGAATTATAAGCTAAGCAGGTGTTCAACAAATACTGTTTCTAAGAGGGATATTTGGAAGATCACTTAGATGTTATGTGAAATTTTGGTGGAGCCATGTCCTTTATCTGAACCACACTCACCCCCCAACATTGGGTGACAAGGATCCTGTGTAATTTACAAATCTGAAGCAGGAATGACAGCTTCTTCCGCACCCAGACAGGACTTCTCTTTGCCAGTGTCCAGCTAAAGAAGGCTGGCTCCAGACCTTAGTAGGTGTCTGGACATCTGGATCCTACCAGAAGAGTCAAAGAATCAAACACCAGTGGTGGGTGTTTGGCATAGTGGTGAAGACACTGCTTAGGATGCCAATAACTCATATCAAAGTGCCTAGATTTGAGTCCTGGCTCTGCTCCAGGTCCCAACTTCCTGTTCATGTGTTCCCTCGGACACAGCAGTGATGGCTCAAGTACTTGGGCCCCTGCTACCCACATGGCAGACCTGAATGGAATCCTCAGCTCCTGACTTTGGCCTGGCCCAGCCCTAGCTATTGCTAGAATCTGTGAGTGACCCAGTGGATGAAAGATCTCTATCTTTCAAATAAATGAAACTAAATTAACAACAATAATAAAAAGAATTAAATGTCAACAGAAACACCTTGCACAGAGCACCTCCCCTTCCCCACTCTCCTTGCCCTTCCCTTGCAGTTACACAGCTTTTTGTCCTCTCTGGCAGGTGCAGGATGGGCCACTGTGTGCTCTTGGCAGTGGGTGGCTTTGTAGCACTCCATGGCTGTGGCCTGGCTCTCTCCCCAGCATTGCTTTCCCAGACTGCAGGGCACTCACCACCCACTCAGTGCAAGATCAGCCCTATCGTGTGTGCCTACCAGACTCTTCTGGATGAGTGTGTAGCGAGAATAACCTGGTAGCCGTCTCTCTAAATAATGTAACTATCACCTGAAGTCATTAGGAGAGCGCGTCAGGCACGGCAAGGTTGCTGAGAGTGGCGGTTTGGGGTAAAAAGGAAAGCATCTCTCTTCACAACCCAGGGGGCGGCCCTCACTCCACCTCCTGACCTCCGTGACCTCTGGAGGCTCCTCAAGTCACCACGCAGGGAGGCTGGGAAGGAAGGTGCCATGACAGCCACAGAACCTTAGAGCTGGTGAAGAACCGATGCCCTCAAAGGTGTGGGCACTGAACTAAAGTGTGGGTGCTGAGCTGCTCGCTGGTTGCTGACATCTCACAATTCTGGCAACAGAAAGACCCTTTCTCTGCAGGGCCTGCAGGGCCAGAAAGTTGATTCTTACGATGGGAAGAAAGCAGTTGTCCCACAACTTCCATGGTGCTGGTTCTGGAGATACGCAAGTGGCCCTTAAATCCGGGTCATGTGCTGTTTCCTGGTGGCTCTGCCCCGCTCCGCACCCTCCACTCATATACCCCCTACTCTTGTCTTTAGCCTAATGTTCCTGGTTTTCTCCCCATTTCTCCTTCTGTGCCGTCTCTGAGGCCCTCCCTGCTCCTGGAGACCGTGCCCTGAGTGCACTCCTGACAGAGCTGTTGAGAGGAGCCGTGAGCACACTGCGCCAGGAGAGAGAGGCTGCCCAGCTCCTGTGTGAGCCCTGGGGGCCCGACTCCCTCTCCATGGGGACTGGCAACACAAGGACAGGATTCCGTGAGCCAGACCCTGATTGGTGGGCCCTCGAGGTGACTCCGTGGTCTGTGGGGGAGGGACACAGAGGAGTCGGTGTTCAGAAGCAGAGAGGCCCCTCTGACTACCCCGTGTGCTTGCTCGCCAGCTCTTACCTACAGGCAGCTCTGGCACATGTTCCTGATTAGAAAGATTGGTCTCAACTTCTCAAGTCCACAATTCTCCAAGTAACACAAACCCGCCTCCCTGGTCCAATTGCTCAACCACACCTCGAGCAGAGTCTGGCAACTCCAAGGAGGGAGGGAGATTTCGAAAAGGGCTCCAGCCTCTGGCAAGTGTGCGTCTCAGAAATCCAGGCAGAGCAGACGCGAGAGTCTCAACTTTGCTGTGGATCAGTTACACGGGGAAGGAGCTGAACAATTCTACTCAGCACATTTTAATTTACTGGCATCTTTCCTTGCAATAATAAACTTGCGTACTTAGTTTCCAAAAATTCCAAAAAGGCTCCAGAAGGGTTACTTGTGCTTTCCAAAGTAATTCATTGTTGAGATGCTGCCAGCGTGAAGAATTTGGGCTCCAAGGGAAATAAAACTTAGGCCCAAGTGGAAACTAGAACTTTGAAAAGGAGTCAGTTACAACCTGGAGTGCAATTCCGTTCTCGTGCACTATTGCATGGGCACAGAAAGCAATCACAGGAGTTGAACAAGTTTCATACCTCTTTTTCCAACTGATCTCCTGAATATTTCAGAAGCTCGACAAGCTTGGCTATTATTTGGTCTTCTTCATCTGAAGGAAGAAATTCCAGTTATTTCTCTTTAGAGAGGCAAAAAATAATAATCATCATCTTAAGTTTCTGCACTGGCAATGCTTGTGGCTTGGTGAGGGAATAAAGAAAAGACATGCTTTCTCACTCTTTGCAATCAAGCCTTACCTTACCTCTTCCGATCAGACCGAACCATTCGGCTACTTCCCCTGCGTTCCCTCATTTCCCTTTTTCCTCCTCTTTGCTCGGCCCCCCAGTTTTCACCATGACGCTCGTCATGGTTTTTGCCAAGAGAATGTTGTGGAAAGCCTCAGTCCTTCTCCCCGTAATCCAGTTTATGAAGATGGGAGAAATTCCCTGTGGGTTTTAGACTTTTCCTCAGTAGTAGGCACCTTTTCCTTGGACGCTATATTGGATTAGATTGCTCACTTTGTGTTAGCTGCTTGAAAGTACTGAGCCGAGAGGGAGAACGGTCTCTCTGGCCTGCATCTTGAGAATCAACCTTGCTCCTAAGTTGGTTTTATTTTCACATTTTGGGGTTTTTTTTACATTATCTTTCACATTTGAATTATTTTATCTGGTTAAAATTTATTCTTCATAGGTCATGTCTACATAATAAGATGAGGTATAAACAAATTAATACAACTCCCCACCCCCATGCAGGCAGATAGTGACATGGCTATCATTGGCTTGTGATGTATCTGTTGGAATGGGTGAGGTAGACTATGATTTTTCTTGTCTCAAAACTTGTTAACAACTGGGACAGGTGTTTGGCCTAGAAGTTAAAATACATGCATCCCAAACCAGAGTAGCTAGGTTCCAGGTCCAGTTTCTGGCTCCTGCTGTCAGTGCAGCGGGGGATGGGAGGCAGCAGGTGATGGCTCAAGTAACTAAATTCCTGCCAGCCACATGGGAGACCAGAATTGAGTTCCTGGCTCCTGGCTTCAGCCTGGTCCAGCCCTGGATGTTTTGAGCATTTGGGGAGTAAACCAGTGGATGGGAGCATTCTTCCTCTCTCTGTCTCTCAAATAAATAAAAATGAATAATTATAAAAATAACTTGTTAACAACTAAGCATGATGAGAGTGGTATTGCTACAGAACATACTCCAGAGAAAAGCCAGTTACTGAGAGAATGCTGCTTCTTACTTCTGGTAGTCTCTGGAGCCATAGGGCCCTCGTGCTTGTCCCAGATAAGAAGACAAAGGAGGCCCGGCATTGGTGCAACAAGTCCCAGTGTGTTCCAAACCCAGAGGCGGATGGGAAGATTGAGACTCAGGGTACTGGCGAGAAGAAAAGGTGTCCACAGCCGGAGAGCAGCTTTTATCTGCTGCTGCTCTCTGGGAGAGTGGAGGACTCTCCTTGCTCGAAGCCTCTGTGGCAGTTGGTGGCCCCTACCCTACCACCAGGGGTGGATAGAGCTACCACTCTGCTTCAGGGGTTGGAGCTGCCAACGTCTTTGCAGGGAGAACTTCTGCCTTGTGCTTTGGGGAGCTAAAAACTTAAGGGCCACCTCTGGCTCACATCCTCCACTAGAGTTTGGGAAGAGAGAGGGGAACATCATTCGTGCGGCTAAGCAGAACCAGCTTCCCTCCTTCTGTGAGCACTTGGTCCTGTTCCCCTCCACTGTCCCTTCAGAGCCCAGTGCTCCCACAAAGCCTGATGAAATCAGTACACCAGTTATTGCTATGGTTCTGGTGGCGGCTGGCTCAGTCTGGTCACTACTTCTCAGTTCTACACCAGACCTAGTAAGTGACAGCCCCCAAAGCAATATAAATCCCTAGGTTCATGCTTCAACTCTGTGAAAGGCAAATTGGTCCAGGACCACTGGTGACGGGATCAAGCCTAAGACTATATTTTCCCTATGGTCAAGGAAGAAAGCAAACTTCTGAGTTTCCTTCTCCGACTTGGTAGGAGACTTTTCTTTTGATGTAGCAGTGAGTTTGCCATGTCAGTTCAATCTGCTGGTGTGTATTTCTGTTACACCCTCAGACCAGATCAGCACAGACGCCCAAGCTGCTGAGCTCTGAGCTGAATAAATACAGAAATGTGCATACACCTCTGTCTGGCAAACATCTGACCCAACACAAACATTCAGAAGGAAGGTTTACCTTTCTTAGAACTTGGAGCTCCAGGCCCACCGCCTTGCAGTTGGGCGTGGAGAGCCTGTTTTACCCACTTGGCACCAGAGCTTTTCCCCTGGCATGGCGCTTCTGGTGGTGGCCAGGAATAAACGATTTTAGCAACTCGGTTGGCAATGGAAGCAACTTTGGGGTCCACGTCTGAAACAAGAAAGAACAGTGCTGAGAGGCCCTTCCCAGGAGAACTGCCCAGGACTCCTGGGGATGCATGGTTGCTTGGAATGGAAAGCCCAGCCCGGAATGAGAGGAACTTGCGCAGGAGTGTATGTCTGGGGTGGGGCCATTCTTCAGAAAAGACCAGCGGTTGCCTGGCAGGGCCTGGGATTCAGGAGGACACAGAGGAACGAGTGGCACCTGGAAACAGCTGCCCTTCTTTACATTCTTTTAGAAGTTTTGCAAAATTGAGCTCCCCTGTGACCTTTGAAAAGGAGAAAACACAAAAGGGAGCGCTTGCAGGAATGCTCACTATGCTTTTATTTTTATTCTCTCTCCCTCTCCGGCCTCGCCTCTCTCTCTCTGTCTCTGTCTCTCTCCCTCTCTTCTCTCCTTCTCCCCCCTCCCTTTCTCTCCCTCTCTTCCTCCCCCCCTCCTCCCTCTCTCTCTTTTCTGACATCCTTTACACCTCTGTGCCTCTAGGTGCATAGGAAGGTATTCAATAGTTTGACAAGCATTTGGGAACTGTCACTGAGGAAAGAGAAATATCCATGGTGTATTGCTGTCTCCATCACTCAAGTGCATTATCAAGTAAACGCCCAAAGCCCCTTGCTCATAGCCTCGCATCTTCTCTCTCTCCTGTGTCTACTGGAAAGCAATCAGTTATGCTTGTAGGTGAACAAGGATTTATAGGGTGTAACTCATCCTTCAAGAATTTATAATCCTGCAAGAGAGTTATGTCATGTATGAAATAACTTTAACACATTCATGGAAAATGGAATTAAAATACACATTTAGGGAGCAGGCATTTAGCTTTGTGGTTAAGATGCTCACATCCTTCGTTGAAGAACCTAGGTTGGAGTATTGGCTCTGACTTCGGATTCTAGCTTCCTGCTAGTACACATCTTAGGAGACAATAGTGATGGTGGGGCTGGCGCTGTGGCGTAGTGGGTAAAGCCACTGCCTGCAGTGCTGGCATACCATATGGGCACTGGTTTGAGTCCCAGCTGCTCCACTTATGATCCAGCTCTCTGCTGTGGCCTGGGAAAGTAGTAGAAGATGCCCAAGTCCTTGGGCCGCTGCGCCCTCATAGGAGACCTGGAAGAAGCTCCTGGTTCCTGACTTTGGATCGGTTCAGCTCTGGCCATTGCAGCCATTTGGGGGAGTGAACCAGCAGATGGAAGACCTTTCTCTCTCTCTCTCTCTCTCTGCCTCTGCCTCTACTTCTCTGTAACTCCACCTTTCATATAAGTAAATAAATCTTTTTTAAAAAATGGTGGTTTATGTGATTAAGTTCCTGCCATTCACATAGGAGATTTGTACTGAGGTCGTGGCTCTTGACTTTGGCTTCTGGGATCTTGTGGTGTTGTAGACAATTGGGGAGTGAACCAATGGATAGGATCTCTCTCTCCCTCTCTGTCTGTGTGTGTGTCTCTCTCTCTCCCTATCTCTCACTGACTCTTTGTAAAAAAAAAAAGGAAAAGTAAAATATAACAGTTTATTTTAGTGTAATAAAACTTTAAATCTATGCATAATTTGTTCATAATATGCATTTTCCATGAACTTTTTTGAAGACCCCTTGTACTTTCACACAGAATTATGTGTAAAGCATTTGAAGTCAGGAAGGTTTGGAATGGCATGGGCCCCTTGAATGTTATAGGCTATAAATCTCATGTCAGTTTTGGTCCTGACTGGGGATAGGGTGAGCTTGGGTGGGCAGGAATTTGACTGTGTTGTTGGGCAGCAAAATTTTCAGTGCTGACTTGTCCCTGAGTTCTTAACTTTTAGAAGTGCTCTGGCTTTGATGTCATACAGAGCATTTGAGTAGGATCACAGAACGGTGCAGAATCATTGAAGAAACTTAAGGAGTGGGGTCCTGGCTGGAACATTGGTTTCCCAGGGACGTCCTGGACTCTGTAAGTCATGATAGGAAGGAGAGGCAGCCCGGGTCCTGGGAGGACGGTGTCACATAGGAAACAGGTATGGGTGCCACGTGGGACTGCCACGCTGTGGTGTGGTCCTCAGACCCTGCAATTCCTCTGTAGCATGAAGGCTTCAGTGTCCTCCTCTCATCGTTGGCCATTCCCCAACCAGAGCCATGGGAGATAAAGCTCTGTCCATTACACCTCCCGTAGGTGGATACTGGCCTTCAAAAGCCCTATTTTTTCAAGCTTAGTCGTTAGGGTTCAGAAGCAGATAAGCAGTGATTTAGAGAAGTCAAGACATTGTCAATGTCTTTCTTTCTCATTTTAACAACCAAACTGAGTATATTTTCACTTTAGAATCGCTTCATTGCAATCCAACCAGCCTCCTCTTGAGTATTGGCTACCTATGGCCTTGGCAAGGGAATGGCAAGAGGCTGGTTCCAAAGCCAAAGTGAGCCTGCCCTTGTAGTGTTCTCAGATGACAGGAAGGGAACACTCACACCTGCTACCTCTGCAACCCAGGTGTCCTATCCAGTGTGATCTGCATCTGGTTCTCCCACCAGAAGTCATCCTTAGCCCATCGTGCATGCTAAGAGGACCACTGGAGAGCCCCACAGGCTATCGCTCCTTGCCCCTACCATGTATTTCCCCCACCTGATGGCAGGGCTACCACAAGACGACCAGCAGGCACCGAGGTGCTCAGTCTGATGGACCTGTGTACACTGTGATGACTTCTGCAAGTCTGTGGACGTGGAGCAAAGCAGGTGGATGAAATATGTGCAAGGTAAACTACAAGCCAACGTTTTGACCCGGATGAACTAACTCTAACGAGAAGTCCACTTTGAATACTTTAAAAAGTGGATGTCGGACTTGGTCCTATCTGATAGGCAAGGGAAGCCTGGATGGGGCTTAGGGAGAAAACTGAAGGGCTGCCATCCTTTACAGTCTATTTTGGGTCCCTGTGGAGCCAAGCAGAGCAGAGATCAGGGCTAGGGAGGAACTGTTTGGCCCAAGGGCCAAGGCATTTGCTTTAAAGAGACGGTCAAGGAATGTGGGAGTGTTTTCCACGTGGTAAATCTATTGCCCACTCAGTATCCATTTTCCTCTTCTTCCTTAGTGACAGATCCCTAAAATGTGAGAGACAGCACTGGAAAAGGTGCAAAACGACACTTCTCAGCTTCCTTTGCAGTAAGGAGTGGCCAACGAGATGGAAGGAGGAACCAGGAGCAGTTTCCAGAAAGCTCTCTGAAAGGGAGATAGATTATCTAGAAGGAAGGCTGCCTTGCTTGCTTTTTCATCCTGCTTAAAATGTAGATGTGATGGCTGGAGTCCCAACAGCCACACTGGAATATAAGGCAGTTGAGAAATGTCCGAATGCCTAATAAATTCGTGGAGCTGCCGTATCAGGCCTGGGCCAGCACACTTTGGTCTCTATGGGAGAGAGAAGTACTCCTCTGTATTATTGAAGCAATAGTTAATTGGCTTTCCACCAAACCTGATCTTAGTAGTAACATTGCACATGAAGTGAACCGAAGCTGTGGAGACACAACGGATTGGCAAGTGAAAGAACCCGGCTTGGCGGTCTCTAAGACCAGCACGCATGCCCCTTTCTCTACATCTTAAGGCCTTTCGCTGGTAGAATTTGGTCTGGGGCGTGACCTCGCATTTCCAACTTATCCCTGGTATCTCAGTCCTGGAAATGGCCACACACGCCCAAATCACAGCCCAGGTGAAAGCAACAGCCAAGCTCCGTTTAATCTGTGAGGCACCGTTGGTCACACCCAATGACAAACCAACAACATGAACATAAAACCACCTAATTAACCAGCCAAACCAGAGAGTAAGGCAGAGACAATGGTGGGAAGATAAGCTCCACATAAGTTTTGAATACTTTTGAATACAAAGGTCTGTAGGAGATAATCATTTCTACTCTTTAAAAATTTATATATGCAGGCCGGCGCCGCGGCTCACTAGGCTAATCCTCCGCCTAGCGGCGCCGGCACACCGGGTTCTAGTCCCGGTCGGGGCGCCGGATTCTGTCCCAGTTGCCCCTCTTCCAGGCCAGCTCTCTGCTGTGGCCAGGGAGTGCAGTGGAGGATGGCCCAAGTGCTTGGGCCCTGCACCCCATGGGAGACCAGGAAAAGCACCTGGCTCCTGGCTCCTGCCATCGGATCAGCGCAGTGCGCCGGCCGCAGCGCGCTGGCCGCGGCGGCCATTGGAGGGTGAACAACGGCAAAGGAAGACCTTTCTCTCTCTCTCTCTCTCTCACTGTCCACTCTGCCTGTCAAAAAAAAAATATATATATATGCACATACATAGTTATATACATAGTTTTATATAAGGTGCTTCAAGAATTTCCTGGAAAGGACCAGCATTGTGGTATAGTGGGTTAAGCCGCCACCTGCAACACTGGCATCCCATATCAGAGCACCAGTTTGGGTCCTGGCTCCTCCACTTCCTGTCTAGCTCCCTGCTGATGTGCCTAGGGAAAAGCAGTAGAAGATGGCCCAAGTAGCTGTGCCTCTGAAACTCATGATGGAGTTCCAAGCTCCTGGCTTCAGCAGTTGGGGAGTGAACCAGTGGATCGAAGATCTCTCTGTCTCTCCCTCTCTCTGTCAGTCTGCCTTTCAAATAAATTAGATAAATCTTTTTAAAAAGTTAATGGAGGAGCTGGCGCTGTTATGTAGCCAGTAAAGCCGACCCTGCAGTGCCGGCATCCCATATGGGTGCTGGTTCTACTACTAGTTGCTCCACTTCTGATCCAGCTCCCTGCTAATGCACCTGGGACAGCAGCAGAAGATGGCCCAAGTCCTTGAACCCATGCACCCATGTGGGAGACCAGAAAAAAACTCCTGTCTCCTGGCTTTGGATTGGTCCAGCTCTGGCCATTGTGGCCATTTGGGGAGTGAACTAGCAGATGGAAGACCTCTCTCTCTCTGCCTCTGCCTCTCTGTAACTCTGCCATTCAAATAAATAATTTTTTTAAAAAAAGCTTATGGAATCAAAAGATAAATTTATTTTGATATAAAACATTTGAAATTCTTGCATAGTTTATTCATAATACACATTGTCCATGAACTTTTGAATATCCCTTGTATGCATTTCAATTTTTTTGCACCAAACTTATCTTTTAATTCCGTTTTTCCATGAATGTTTTGAAGTATCCTTGTATATAGAGTTATACAGTATGTAGCTATTCAGCCATAGACACTATTTAACATGGATGTCTAAGTGCTTTCTGAATTTAATCTTTTATTCTTGATCTCACATAAAACTGAACTTTCTTCATCCAATATCCCCTCCCCCGAAAAAAAGGCAGGGGGAGGGGAGAAAAGTTCCTTAGGAAATTTTAGAGACTGAAAGAAAGGTCAAGTGACACTTTAGTAAATGCCATTTATGTCAGGAAAAGCCAGGGGGCAAATCCAAAGTCCTCGGTCACCTAGCCCCAGCCACACGGAAGGGCTGGCAGAAGAGCCGCTGGGCTCAGTGTTCCTGACCTCTGGTCCTGGGCCACACTGGTGTGAGGGCAGGAGGTGGTGGGGGTGGGGCAGAGGGTAGGGGGAGGTAGGAGTGTGGAAGACCCCAGGGGAGAGGGCCACAGAGCCCAGGACCTTTGGCTCCAGGCTCAGCATTGCTAGCCGCCCTCGAGGGGCAGAGCCTCATTGGGGATCCTGACGCAGTCCCAGGCCTGCCACTTCCCAGTCCCTTTGTCGGGACTCCCACTGCCTTATACCGGGGCACTTCAAAAAATCTCTGGAAACTGGAATGAAGTACAAGTGTATTTCGATGCAAAAAATTTTGAACTCCATGCCTAGGTTTTTCATGATACACATTTTCTAGGAACTTTTGGAAGACGCCTTGTGTGACCTGTATGAAAAGGTCCCCCAGATAATCCTGGCCCTAACTTCTGTCCTGAGCTTCTACAGGCCTAGCGAGAGAGGGAAGTGATTCTCCAAGTAAAAGCCGGGACAGTTGCAAGATTTTAAAATTGAGACGTTGCTGCCACCTGTTGACTCATTATTGACAAGTTCCTTGGACAGATCCAACAGCACGAGGAGAGGGGACTTCCTTCAACATCTGGTGCTGTTGCAGGGGAAGAAGGTGCTCATGGCCAGGTTTGGGTGCACGGGGCAGCTCCACAGAGCGCTCGCTCAATGCCAGTGACTTTATCTCAGTGAAGAAAGACTTCTCAAAAGGTTTCTTCTGAGTGTTTTTTTTTAATAATTTTTTAAAAGATGCATTTTTTATTTATTTGAAAGAGTTACAGAGAAAGGTAGAGACAGAGAGAGAGGTGTTCCATCGGCTGGTTCACTCCCCAGATGGCCTCAGCAGCTGGAGCTGATTGATCCGAAGCCAGGAGCCAGGAGCTTCTTCCAGGTCTCCCATGTGGGCGCAGGGGCCCAAGGAAGGACTTGGGTCGTCTTCATTTGTAGGCACATTAGCAGGGAGCTGAATCTGAAGAGGAGCAGCTGGGACTAGAACCAGCACCCAAATGGGATGCTGGCGCTGCAGGCCAGGGCTTTAACCCGCTGCACCACAGCATCAGCCCCATGGTTTACGTTCTGGTCTTTCCATTTACCATTAACAAGATGGAAGGGTGCAATCTCCCCGGTGCACTGAGAGGGAGCTGACCTCCCACAGGGAGTGAGGCAGAGGTCTGTGTGGTGGCACAGCTGGCGAAACTGCCCACCACCTATGAAGCCCGCATCCCACATGAGCCCTGGTGTGAGTCCTAGCTGCTCTAGTTCCAATCTAACTTCCTGCTAATGGCCTGGGAAAACAGGGGAAAATGGCCCAAGTGCTTGCGTCCCTGCCACTCTTATGGGAGACCCAGATGGAGTTCCAGGCTCCTGACTGGCCTGGACCAACCCTGGCCATTGTGTCCATTTGGGGAGTGAACCAGCTGTTGGAGGATCTCTCTGTCTCACTCCCCCCTTCAAATAAATAAATGATTCTGAGAGAGAGAGAGAGAGAGAGAGAGAGAGACCGACCGACCAGAGCCCTTGTCTGGGACTCTCTTTGACATGGGCCTCTGGCACGGAGGAGCAGGGATTTGGCCAGCGGGCTTATTTATTTATAGACAGAACACCGGTCTTGTCACTCTTCACTGCCAGTGTCTTTATTTCTGCCCAGTCTTGGAAGGAGAGGGACAATTCCTACAGACACTAATGAGGTGCGAAGCGGAGGCACTGTGAGCCCCTGTCTGAGGCCCGTCTTTAGGATCCAGGGTGCACACCGAGAAGGGAAGACCTGGCTGTGGGAGACAGCACGCCCCGAAGCCTACCTTCATTCTTTCCTTGCTGCTCCACGGCGGAGAGGGACCTGGACCCTTGAGGGGAAACAGCACTCGGAGGCCCCTGGAAATGGAACAGCTCAGACAAGTCCTGCTCGTCTTCCTCCTTCTCCAATACTCCAAAGAGTGCTTTCCATGAAGACTTTTTCTTGCCAAGATTTATTGACTTCTCACTGGAGCGGGAGTTTCTGCAGGGCCACGACACCTGTGTCCATGACTCATTTGTTGAGCCACTCTCCACTCCTTTCTGGGACAAACTTCTTGTTCTCAACAGCTTGGGCGAGAAGGTGGCAGGGGTTCTCTTGAAGACATGGTGTCTGACATAGAAGGCCAGGATTTTGAATTCTAGGCTGTTTAGGTCATCATCATCCAGGGGGATTTCTTCCAGGTCACTCGGGCTGGTGCTGCACATGTTGGGCCTGTAACGACAAAGTCCACACCGTGCCTTTCTACATGCAGGCCATTGGTTGTGTGTAGGTTAGAGACAGGGGTGAAACCCCAGTGTGTATTAATTGAGCACCTACTATTTGTGCTGGGCAGCTTGGGGTAAGCAGAGATGGCAAGGCCAGTCTTACTGGGTTGGAAAGAGAGATGGGGCAGAGATAACTCCAAAGAAGAGAATGAACAGAGAGCTCTCCCCATTAGGCAGATAGGACAAGTCAGCCTCAAGTAGGGGAGCAAGTGCAGGTCTCTAGAGAGGTACAAGGTTTAGACAAGCAGGTAGATACAGGGTTTAAGAACCAGATGGGCAGAGAGCAGTCTGTGAGTGGACGTAGGACACGTTCTGCTTGCAGAGTGGCAGAAGAACTGGTGTGGCAGGAGCACTGATGGGCAGCCCCGGTCGGGAAATAGTGGAGGGAAAATCAGTGAATGGCAGTTGGGGCCAGATTATGGTAGCCTTTGGATATCAGGCTCAAAGCTTCATGTTCTCCCAAGTCAGTTGGTACATTTCAAAAGGAGCCCTGGGCCGCAAAGGGTGGAAAAAGCCTCCTGGGAGAGGTGGGTGAGCCAAGGGGGAAGCCAGCTCACAGAGAGAAATGTCTGGTCCCACTGACCCTTCCTTCTCCTCTCCCTTCTCCATGGGCAACCACCCGAGCTTGTCCAAGTTGGCTTCTGTTTCTTGCCATATTTGGTGCTGCATGGAGGATTGCATCTGAAAAAAGCATACCTCTACCTCTGTCTCTTTAGCAGATTTGAAAAGCTGTGATGGCAGCGGCTGTAGCGAACTTCCCCGGTTTGGAGCGGGAGAGTGGTGTGAGTACAGGCACGCTTTAGAGAGAGCAGGGCAAGGCTCAAGGATGGGACTGGACCCATACAACGGCTTAGATACCAGCAACTGACTTCTATTCAAATGCTTTTGCATTTGGTTTCCTGCTGGGAGCGCGTTTCTTTTTGCTAACAGTCCACTTTCCTTTCTCCTGTTTCTGTTCAGGATGACATTTTCAGATGCACAAAGCCCAGATTTATCAGTTCTCACTGGACTAAAATTTCACAGTCCATGAATGTATTGGAAAACAGCGTGGGCTTCTCAGCCTAACAGGCTTGAGTTCAAATCTGGGCCTTGCCCGTTACTAGTTAGATTTGTGCTCCTAGGCAGGTGATGTCACCTCTCTTGAACTTGAGCGTTCTGTTAGCAAACTAAGTTATCACAGGTATCTGGCAGGCATGTTGTGAAAGCACAAGAGGAAGCGTGAGAAGTCCCAGCACAGCACCCATCCGTCACCCCGGGCCTCTCTGGCTCTCTCTTTGACATGCTTTCCATTGTATGCCCTTCCCTTCCCAGTCCCACGTTAGGGCTGACTTTTGGCACGTAAGGTGGTCTGATGAAACGTAAGTTGTGGTGATATTAATGGGATCAGCTGGCATCCTTTTCTCTCCAGCACACCCTGTCGTACCAGGACCAGCTCAGAAAGGAATGGACAGTGGCTGCCCACAGGGTTTGAGGCAGTGTGATATGGCACAGACAAATTGGACTTGGTGTCTGTAGGTCCAGTGGCCAAGGTGGGTTCAGCTTCTAACTTGCGATGTCCTTGGCCAAGGCTCGTGGCCCTGGGTGTGACATGGTTAGACTGAGGACATCCATGAGTGCTTCCCTCTGGTCTGAAGGAGGCACAGGGCCTGAAATATCTCCTCTGTGGATCTGCTCCATGCTTCCTGTTCCATCGTTGTTTCCCTCCTTTATTTATAAGAGGCTCCTGGGGCCGGCACTGTGGCGTAGAAGGCTAAGCCTCTGCCTATAGTGCTGGCATCCCATATAGGCACTGGTTTGTGTCCCAGCTGCTTCTCTTCCTATCCAGCTCTCTGCTATGGCCTGGGAAAGCAGTGGAGGATGGCCTAAGTGCTTGGATCCCTGCACCCGCAGGGGAGACCCAGAAGCAGCTCCTGGCTCCTGGCTTCAGATAGGCCCAGCTCCAGCCGTTGTGGCCATTTAGGGAGTGAACTGGTAGATGGAAGACTTTTCTCTCTGTCTCTCCCTCTCTCTGTTTGTAACTCTACCTCTCAAATAAATTATTAAAAAAAAAAAAAAAGAGGAGGCTCATGCTGGCTGATGCATGCTGGCTCATGCAGAACTGTTCATGTGGGCAGCGGCTCCTTGGCCAGAGCCTGAGAAAGCAGTGGCCCTGGCTTGGTGAGTTCTGAAGGAAATGAGGCTTGGCACCTGCAGGGGGCTGTGTCACAGTATCGGGTGTAGACTGAAGACAGAAATGGATTTCCCAGTTCAGCAAAGGGCAGAGCTCGAAACCCAGCCCAGCAACCACACACACAGTGGCTTTCATCCAGCCTATATGCTTGGGCCCCTGCACCTGTGTGGGAGACCTGGTGGAAGCTCCTGGCTCCTGGCTTTGGATCAGCTCAGCTCTGGCCGTGGTGGTCATTCAGGGAGTGAACCAACAGAGAGGAAGACCTCTCTCTCTCTGGCTCTGCTTCACTCTGTAACTCTGTCTTTCAAATAAATAAGATTTTATTTATTTATTTGAGAGGTAGAAATACAGGGAGGCAGAGGGAGAGAGGGAGAGAGGGAGAGAGGGAGAGAGGGAGAGAGGGAGAGAGAGAGAGAGAGGTCTTCCATCTGCTGGTTCCTCCTCAAATGGCTGAAACAGCCAGAGCTGGGCTGATCTGAAGCCAGGAGCCTGGAGCTTCTTTCGGGTCTCCCACACAGGTGCAGGGGCCCAAGGACTTGGGCCATCTTCCACTGCTTTCCCAGGCCATAGCAGAGAGCTGGATCAGAAGAGGAGCAGTCAGGTCTTGAACCAGCGCCCATATGGGATGCCGGCACTGCAGGTGGCGGCTTTACCTGCTATGCCACCCCGCTGGCACGGTGGGTGACAGAGGATGAATGGAGACAGTGAAATCACTTGTGTCAGATCGAGCAAGCGTGGCGTTTTCTCCCTCCTAACCCTCCTTAGGAACTAAGCGCCAGCTATTAGATCTGTAGCGAAGTCCTCCCTGCAGGCTCATGTGTGTTCTGCACACTCTGGGTCCTGTCTGCTCTCAGCTGTTGCTGTGGACATTTTTGCTTTAGAGCAGAAGCCCCACTTTTTGGCTGAGAAAACTGTAAACCTTAAGTTGTATGTTTATGGGACCCCTGGGGGCACTGCCATGTGGCACTGTGGGTTAAGCCACCACTTGCGACAGCGGCATGCACTATCAGTGTGCTGCTTTGAGTCTTAGCTGCTCCGCTTCGGATCCAGCTCCTTACAAATGCACCTGGGAAAGCGGCAGAAGATGGCCCAAGTGCTTGGACCCTTGCCACCCATGTGGGAGACTCAGAAGAATCTCCTGGTTCCTGGCTTCGGCCTGGTCCAGCCCTGGCTGTTGTAGCCACCAGTGGATGGAAGATCTCTCTTTCTCTCTCACTCTACCATTCATAAATAAATGAAAAAATGAATCTTAAAAAGAAAGAAAGGGCTGGCGCCGTGTCTCAATAGGCTAATCCTCCGCCTTGCGGCGCTGGCACACAGGGTTCTAATTCCAGTCAGGGCGCCGGATTCTGTCCCAGTTGCCCCTCTTCCAGGCCAGCTCTCTGCTGTGGCCCGGGAGTGCAGTGGAGGATGGCCCAAATGCTTGGGCCCTGCACCCGCATGGGAGACCAGGAGAAGCACCTGGCTCCTGGCTTTGGATCAGCGTGGTGCACTGGCCGCGGCGGCCATTGGAGGGTAAACCAATGGCAAAAAAAAAAAAAAAAAAAGGAAGACCTTCCTCTCCTCTCTGTCTCTCTCTCTCACTGTCCACTCTGCCTGTCAAAAATAAAAAAAAAAAAATAATAAAAAAAAAAAAAAAAGAAGAAGAAGAAGAAGAAAGAAAGAAAGAAAGAAAGAAAGAAACCCTGGGTGGGCCCCCAGAGTGCAGGTTCAGAACCCGGAGGGCAGATGTCAGCTCTGTGAGCCTTAACTTAGCGCGATGACTTGGCAGACACAGCCCCTAGCCCCACTAGCCTGTGTCTTGCTAACCTCTCCTTGTGCCCCAGCACCCCACACCTCCATCCCGTCACCCCGTGATCTACCACGTCACATCTGGATCGTGTGTCGCTACGACTTGCTTCCCCGTGGCTCCGTCCTTGCCCCCTGCGTCTCCATTGCACCTCCTTATCTCTAAGGCACCTTCTCTGAGGTGATATTCCACAGCTGCTTTTGTCCCCCTTCCCCCCAAGTCCTCCCAGGCAGGGCTGCGAACTGAGTGTTCCCCCTAGGAGCGCCACTGCAGGCAGTGACACCGTGCCGGTTATGGCCAGGTCCACCATGGGCTTCTTTTGCCCCTGACTCACTGCTTGGGATGAGGTTTTGCTCTCTTCCCACGGCTGGTGAGGGAGCTGCATACAGCAGAGGCAATAGAGCGGCTTCGTTTGTGCCTGCCCAGAGAGGCTACTGGGGCCGGTGTTGGGTCGTACGCCAGGGACAAGGGGTGTGGAGAACGCCTTGGCCACAGGCCCAGCAAGAGGGCTGTCTTCCGTGTCCTGGGAACAGGCAGTTAGGCCTTGTGCAAACTGGAGCCAGAGCAGCAGCCCCATGTGGCCCGGTGGCCGTGAGCCTCCCCTTCGATCCCTGGGTCTTCCGAGGCACCCCCCCAGCTTCCTTCCCTTGGCCTCCCTCAAGCCAGGCCTCCTGTGTCTCTGTTCTTTCTGCCCTGCCTGTCAGTTCCTGGCACAGCATGTGTGCCAGTTCTCAAGGAGCAATGAGCAATGGGGCAAACGTCTCACTGTCCGACAGTAGGAGCTGAACGCAGAGACGAAACCTGAGCTCACAGGCACCACACAGAAGGGTGAAGGTTCTGATTGTGGACAGGAGGGAACTTTTTTTTTTTTTTTTTTTTTATTTGACAGGTAGAGTTATAGACAGTGAGAGAGAGAGACAGAGAGAAAGGTCTTCTTTCCTTGGTTCACTCCCCAAATGGCCGCTATGGCCGGCGCTGCGCCAATCCGAAGCCAGAAGCCAGGAGCCAGGTGCTTCCTCCCGGTCTCCCATGTGGGTGCAGGGCCCAAGCACCTGGGCCATCCTCCACTGCCTTCCCGGGCCACAGCAGAGAGCTGGACTGGAAGAGGAGCAACCAGGACTAGAACCCGGCGCCCTTATGGGATGCCGGAGCTGCAGGCGGAGGATTGACCAAGTGAGCCACGGCGCCGCCCCCAAGAGGGAATGTTCTAGAGCGCAGAGAGAATGACCTCCTGCTTCACCTGGGCTTGCACTCAGGGTGCCTCTGCCACTTTCCCATGAGGTGCTCAGGGCCTTGGGCTCAAACCCAAGGGTTCCTGACCTTGGCCACAATCCCTGCTCTGGAGAGGAAGGCGGCCTCCTCAGGGTCTCCAGCCGAGCCCGCGGTGCCCCTCACTCAAGTCATCGCATCCCTTGGCATCTGCCCAGTGACAGACAACCGGATGATGTTCAAAGCAAATCAACCAGCTGTGTATTCTCCACCACCCCAGACCCTCTGTAGCAAAAGAGAAATGAAAGAGAAACCAAAGAACCTTTTCTCCCTTTCCTGAAACCTCCGTGAGCCCAGTTCTCAGGGTCCTCTGGCACTCCAGGACCCACAGGATGAGGACCTCACAACAGAGCCAGAGCGAGGCTCCCAGAGCAAGGCGGCATCGCCTGGCAGACCAGGCAGGCCTGAGCCGGGGACTGCTGCCTCCTGGTGTTACCTGCTCTCGAAGCCGGCAGAGGTTTCTCCTGCGTCAGGCAGGGGGCAGCAGGGGTGTCTCTGCATTCCAGCCTCTCTCTCCACGAACCTGGGAGGACACGGGGCTTCGGGCTTAGAGAGGTTCATGGGACTGACAGCTCCAGGCCGCCGCCGTCTCTGCAGGTTTAGGACGAGGGCTGAAGTCAGGCTCAGGGAAGCAGAGCCACTTCCTTGTGCAGCCCTGCCCCCAGCTTAGCTGAAGGAGGGGCTGACCTTTGCCCGTGTCATGTAACTCTAAAGTGAGTTCTGTATCCTTTACCAAACACCTTCCTGGCATGGCCCTGGCCCTCAGGACAATTAGTGGGTGTTTGTCTTCTTACTCTCTGTTTTATCAGATGAACAATGTTTCTGACCACTTACTACACACGTTTCAACAACCTGGCACAGCAGGTGTCAGAATTCCCATAGCACAGATGAGGTAACTTGGGCTGAGAGGGGTTCTGTGTCTATCATTTCAGCTGAGATTTTTTTTTTTTTAATTGTTCACTTGAAAGGAAGGGAGAGAGACAGAGGGCACCCACCTACAGGTTCATTCAAATGATCACAACAGCCAGGGTCAAAGCCTGAAGCCTGGACCTCAGTCCAAGTTTCCTACAAGGGACGCAGGGGGTTCACTGCTTGAGCCGTCACCTGCTGCCTTCCTGTATTAGCAGGAAGCTGGAATCAGGAGCAGAGCCAGGACTCACACCCAGGTATCGCAGTATGGGATGTGTGCATCCTAAGCAGGTGTCAAAGGCCCACCCCAAATTCTGGTCCTTTTTTTTGCTATACAGTATAGCACGTTACCTCTTCTGTGAAATTCGAATGTTGTATTTAAATGGAGCCACTGGAAATGCTTTGAAAAATGAATCTAGGGCGGCGCAGTGGCTCACTTGGTTAATCCTCCACCTTCGGTGCTGGTGTCCCATATGGACGCCGGGTTCTAGTCCCAATTGCTCCTCTTCTAGTCCAGCTCTCTGTTGTGGCCTGGGAGGGCAGTGGAGGATGGCCCAAGTGCTTGGGCCCTGCACCCGCATGGGAGACCAGGAGGAAGCACCTGGCTCCTGGCTTTGGATCGGCAGAGTTCTGGCCGTAACGGCCATTTTGGGGGTGAACCAACGGAAGGAAGACCTTTCTCTCTGTCTCTCTGTCTCTCTCTCTCTCACCAACTCTACCTGTCAAATACATTAAAAAAAAAGTTAAAAAAATAAAAATGAATCTAATCCTAGCCATATTATAAGGGTATTTCAAAAAGTTTGTGGAAAGATGGAATAAAAAGATAAGTTTACACTGGAGTAGAAAAAGTATTGATATCCATGGAGAGCTTTTTCCAGAAAACTTCTTGCATCAAAGTAAAGTCATCAGGGCAAGTATTTAACTTAGAGGTCAAGTTACTGTTTGGAATGCCCACATCCCATATCAGAGTATCTGATTCAAGTCCTGGCTACTCCACTTCCAATTCAGCTCCCTGCTAACGTGTACCCTGGAAGCAAGTGATGGCTTAAGTAGTAGACTCCCTGCTTTCCATGTGGGACATCCAGATTGAGTGCTGGAATCCTGGCTCCAGCCTGGCCTGGTCTTGGCTGTTGTGGGCATTTGAGGAGTAAACCAGCAGATGGAAGAACTCTCTCAATTTCTCTCTCTTTCCTCCCCGCCATCTCTGCCTTTCAAATAAAAATAAACACAGAAAAATCTTAAAATGATAAAATTATCTTTTAATTTCATTTTCCATGAAGTTTTTCAAAGTACCCTTGTGAATGCTACAAAAAGTCACTTAAAGGCACAATGTAAGGCTAGAATTGCCTTTACATGTATATGAAACATGAAAGAAATATGAGTATACTCTATCCAGATTATTAACCAAAATAGATACATGTAGCCATGCTTGTGATCATGAAACTTGGAGTCTTGCCTGGGGGGAGTATGAAGATGAAGGAAGTGTGAATGGAGAAAGGGGAATTAAGGCTACTTTCACCCTAGTGAGGCAAGAACTGGTCACTTAAATACAGGCAAACAGAGCCATGAGAGAAGTAGATGGTAGTTATGGGGAAGTTAGTTCTTTGGAGGTTCCAGGTGAATTTTCAACAAATAATTAATACTTATTACAAATGACATGAGCCAGTCTGGTCAACTTAGGGAGTATTAAAGAAATATGAAGATTTAAAAAATTCTTTTAAAAAAATGTCTCCTTTTTTGGGAAGGTGAAGTATAGTCACTTGGAACAACTCAGGAATGAGTAAATGCACATAACCAGTGAATGACACGGTGAGGACTTCCGGTGTTTGCAGTTCCATGTTGCATGGCTGATGACGCCAGGTGCAGAAACCACTCAGTATCCCAAAAGGTCTTGGCAAGGTGACTACAACTCTGAGGATGAGGCAGTGGCCCCGTGGACACAAGCTCACTGAGGTCTGGGCTGCCCGTCTCATTCCCCTGCGGTCTCCCTCCCCAGACAGGCTGCCGCCCAACAGCAACCAGGCTCCAAACAAGTCAGAGACTTAGGCAAACAGAGCGAAAAACATTTTTCTCTTGATTTGGAAAGTAGATGAGAGTACTTCAAAGTGTTCATGGAACATAGAATTAAAAGATGAATTTGGTGTAAAAAGTTTTAAAATCCATGCATTTTTTGTTAATATGCATTTTTCATGAATCTTGTAAAAACTAGCTGTCTTTCATTAGTTTCTTTCTGTATATTTACCTTCCCACAATTCTTCCTGTTGAAAACCTAAATTCTTTTCCTTTGTCTCATCATTTCTCTAAAAATTCATGGGAGTTTTGCTTGTCATTAACCCTTTATGTCTTGTCATCCTATGCATAGGGCACCTATAAAAACTTTAATTGAGCAATAAATATGCCACTTTTGGTAATTTCAAAATAACTATTATATTCTAAGAGTCCTGTTCTTTTGAGAAAAGTAATAGAGTTTGAAAATATTTTTAAAATTCTTTGTGAAAATGGTTTAAAGTGTACTGCAAAAGTTACTTTTGCTGAACATTGGCCACCTCTGTTTGGCCAGAGCCGGGCCAGTCTGAAGCCAGAAGCCAGGAAATTCTTCCAGGTTTCCCACGTGGGTGCAGGGACCCAAACACTTGGGCCATCTTTTGCTGATTTCCCAGGTGCATTTGTAAGGAGCTGAATTGAAAGTGGAGAAGCTAAAACTCCAACTGGCACCCATATGGGATGCCTGCATCACAGGGGGAGGCTGAGCCCACTGTGTCACAGTGCTGGCCCCAAGAGTCAGGTAGTTCTACAAATGCTTTAAGTGGTAGAGATTTCACAGTCAATCTGTTTTGTTTTGCTTTTCCCCAACACTGATGAAAACACAAGCCAGAGGACTGTAGGATTACAGATTTGAATCAAATAATGAAGTTCTCATAGCAAAATGGTTAGATAATGAACGTGTCATTGTTGGAATGAAGTTTACTACAGTAGAACCACTTGGCAAAGTTCAATGATGAAAGAAAGAAACGAAGAATAGAGTCAGCATGCCTCAGCCACAGCTGACACTGCTACTAACAATGAGCAACAGTTTCAGTGGTGGTATTAATAAACATCGGTTGGTTTCTGGATATTCCGCTTCTATTAATGATAAAACATCTTACTGGCCTTTGTTCACTTGAATAATTGTTACATGTATTATAAATGCATGAACCATTCACCAATTTGTGAATAAAGACAAGAAAGATCTCATTAATTTGTTGGATTTCAAGAGACGTCTTCTTAGTGTATCTAAAAAGTGCAATCATCAGGAGAAAGAAAGTGTACTACTCCCAGACCTACTACTGCCCATCTCTCAGATTTGACATGGGAAGCTGTGTTATTCTCAAGAGCAGCCACCATGTCAAAATAAGCCATTTGTGCAAAATCAACAGCATGTTGTCAAAAATGTACTGTAACCCTTTGTTTTCTCATTTCAATCAAAAATAATTGTTGAACAAGTTAAGAAAGGCACACCCTTGTGTATCGCATGATGTATGAAAGGCTGTCAGGTTTGCCTGTTGATAGAACGCCTTATGTGTATTAAAGATACTGTATGGTCCCAGTGTCCTATTTATAGGACAATCTGTACTTTCATTATTTTTTTAAGATTTATTTATTTATTTGAAAGTCAGAGTTACACAGAGAGAGGAGAGGCAGAGAGGGAGAGAGAGAGAGAGAGAGAGAAAGAGAGAGAGGTCCTCCATCTGATGGTTCACTCCCCAATTGGCCACAATGGCCGGAGCTGCGGGGATCTGAAGCCAGGAGCTTTTTCTGGTCTCCCACGTGGGTGCAGGGGCCCAAGCACTTGGGCCATCCTCCACTGCCCTCCCAGGCCATATCAGAGAGCTGGATCAGAAGTGGAGCAGCCGAGTCTCGAACCGGTGCCCATATGGGATGCTGGTGCTTCTATAATGCCAGGGCATTAATCTGCTGTGCCACAGCACTGGCCCCTATATATATATATATATATATATATATATATATATATATAAATTTTTTTAAAGATTTATTTTATTTATTTGAAAGACAGAGTTACAGAGAGAGAGATACAGAGAGAGAGAGAGAGAGAGGTCTTCCCTCCATAGGTTCACTCCCCAGATGGCCGCAACGGCCGGAGCTGCGCCGATCCGAAGCCAGGAGCCAGGAGCTTCTGAATCTCTCACACGGTGCAGGGGCCCAAGGACTTGGGCCATCTTCCACTGCTTCCCCAGGCCACAGCAGAGAGATGGATCGGAAGGGGATCAGCAGGGACTAGAACCAGCACCCATATGGGATTCTGGTTCTTCAGGCCAGAGCTTTAACCCACTGTGCCACAGTGCCGGCCCCATATATATTTTTAATATTTATTTTATTTATTTGAAAGAGTTACAGAGAGATGTAGAGAGAGAGAGAGGTCTTTCATCTGCTGGCTCACTCCCCAAATGGCCACAATGGCCGGAGCTGAGCCGATCCGAAGCCAGGAGTCAGGAGCTTCTTCAAGGACCCCCACGTGGGTTCAGGGGCCCAAGGACTTGTGTGTGTGTGTGTGTGTGTGTGTGTGTGTATCTATATATATATAAGATTTATTTATTTGAAAGGCAGAGAGACAGAAAGGAAGATACAGAGAGAGTGTGATTTTTCAACTGCTGGTTCACTCTCCCAAATGGCTGCAATGGCCA